TATATATATATATATATATATATATATGTGTGTGTGTGTATATATTTCTGCCTCAGCTTCTCAGATGAGAGTCTCCACATGTGTTTAATCTGAGACACGACTCGCAGTCTGGAGTCCTCCGCGCGTTTATTTATCGCTCTGGTGTTTAGGGAGGCTTGAACGCTCTTTCTTTACCACTGAGAAAATATTTACTCAGTATCACGAGGCTGCTGAGGTTTTCTGCTTCTCATTACAGGAGAGACGGACTGCATCTGCGCGCCTGCTCTTTATTCTCCATCTACAGATTCATCATTTCAGATGATGATGTCAGAAGAGCACGGCTCGGTCTCGCGAGGGAAGATTCTCGTTCCAGCGCCGAGGTGAAGCTACATCTGTCTAAACAACCTCTCCAGCAGCTAGCTGAAAGGAACACAAACCCAACAGTGTTTTTATTTCTTGCCTTTCCCCAGAGACCCAGAGAGAGAAGAAGGGAGAGATGATGAGAAATTGTCAGCGGTTGAAGGGAAAAAGAGCTGCCTCATGTTTGGCTGTCATGCAGTGAAATATAGGAAACTCTGGGCTGGTCAGTCGCTGCTCTCTCTGTCTCCTTCAGCGCAAATAATGAGAGTCCATTCAGTGTGTCCCGGCTCTATAAGAGCAGAAGCTATATACTGTAGATACAAGTTCAACAGCACACACAATAGTACACACAAAAGTGAAAATTAACTCATCCTCAGGCCATCCAAGTTTAGGATGCGTTTGTTTCTTCATCAGATTTGTAGAAATGTAGCATTGCATCAGTGTCTTAGCAATGGATGCTCTGCAGTGAATGGGTGCCGTCAGAATGAGAGTCCAAACAGCTGATAAAAACATCACAATAATCCACAAGTAATCCACACCACTCCAGTCCATCAGTTAACATCTGGAGAAGACAAAAGCTGAAACTAATCCAGCATTAAGACGTTTCTAACTAAAATACGAGTCCATAATCCATAATAACACTTCCTTCAGTGAAAAAGTGTTCTGGTGTGAATCAGGAGAGAAATCTGCACAGATCAAGCAGCGTTTAAACAGCTCTAAACAAATATGTGTCTGGATGTTGATGTGAGAGACAAAAGCAGATGCACTTTTTCACTGGAGGAAGCGTTATTATGGATTATGGACTCGTATTTTAGTTAAAAACGTCTTAATGCTGGATTTGTTCCAGCTTTTGTCTTCTCCAGATGTTAACTGATGGACTGGAGTGCTGTGGTTTTTATCAGCTGTTTGGACTCTCATTCTCATTCATAGTGTGTTCTGGATGCTTTGGTGGGAAACAGATTGAAATCAAAGCTCTCATGAACATTTCAAAAATGGTGCATCAACACATTTCTTTATATGATTAATGCCAACTATTGATTCTCATATATGTCTTAACTGCATGTTATGCACCAAATCTGAATATGCACAATCATCAATTTTGTCCTTTTTCATCACCTTGAACTGTTGTTGCATGGAAAAGAGCTGTGTGAAGATTGTTTAAAATACCTTATTTTATGTTTCACTGAAGAGAGAAAGTCATGGGACGGGAAGGATGTGTAAATGATGACAGAAGTCACGAGTGACAAAAAGCAATAAATGGTTGCACACATAGCTCTTGCCTACAATTCCCTTGGCTTTGATTTATTCATAAATGTGTTTTGATCAAAGTTAAGTTTTAATAAATCTAGGATTGGACATGTGGGAAGAAAACCTCAACCTTAAAGTCGACAGCATTTTAACTGAATTCCATGTGACATATACGCATTTTATGTGCTTGCATGGTATTTTCTCCCAAAAACACACACCTCTTCAGATGTTAATTGTGTAAACCGGATGAACTGAGATTGATCCTTCAGTCAGTGTTATGAGAGATCTTTATGTCCAGATGGACTGCTGGATTGTGTTGATGTTCTGTCCTTTTGTCGCTTGCCAGGGGATAAAGAAGATCATTTATGCACATGGGAAAAAAGGTAAAACATTTCATTGCAATTTCAAGATGACTCTGCTCGTTCATGTCTTTCAGACAGTAACCTAGTAACAGAAAGAGACAATTCTAGAAGAAAAACTCTTATTATTTGTGTTTCTTCTTTACAGGAAAACAGTGCATTTAAGTTCCATCATCTGAGAAAAGAGCATCTTAAATACTGAATAGCTTTTGTACGAGGGACAAAACCCTACAAGAATTTGCTGAGGTGCTTATGTAAATTTTCTAAATCCATAGATGTAGACTTTTGCTCATATAAATCATCTAACTTATGCATGATTAAATAGTGTGAAATTTCACATCTCCAGGCCTCTTTAGGATAAATAATCATGTCATGTTGAGTTTTGAGCCAATGAAAAGTTTATTCGCCGGGAGGGACAGTTTTAAATCCTACTGTGACTTATGAATATTAATAACGGCGTGCTGACGTTGACTAGAATTCTTTCTGGAGCGCTCAGCCTGATTAATATTCATGAATCAGCCACTCACCACATAGAGTTCAATAATTGGCCAGCTGACTAGCTCCCGCCCACCAGCGTCCGCTGTCAGCCAATCAGGTCACCCTATTGAGAAACGTCACGGTGCGATATTGTTATTCATAAGGCATGCCTTCAGCGCAATAGGACGCGACGCCGGGAGGAGCAACGCGTGAGACTTGACGCGCGTCGCTAGAAGTTACTTCATAGAGCAACCTGTTGACAGCAGTGCGCACTTGCACAAGTCACGCAAAGTGCGCAAATACGCGGAGAAGCGCACCGGGACAGAAGTTTCCTTCACTTTTGGATACTAAGGATACAAGAGAAGCGCTTGCAGTGAGGATGCAAACCTAATCTAAACTGGCGTAGCCTATAATGCAGGACTGATTTTGAATTGGGAATATTGTGTTTTGTTTTTACGCATCATCATCCTCTCCAGGTACTACTCTGATGATTGGGGAGCGCTAGTCCTCTGTGTTTGATCATCCCTGAGATGATCGATAATTCGATCCCAGATTGGCTGGAAGTAACGTGACAGTGCAGATCGCGATGAACGTGCTGCTCGCGCTGTGCGTGGCGCTCGCGGTAGCACGCGGCAGCAGATACTGTCCCGAGCTGATGATTGACAGCTGTCACTGCACCGCGGAGAGATCAAAGCAGTTTAGCAGGCAGAGCGTGCGCGTGAAGGCTGTGTGTGATGATGCGGACCTGACGGAAACCATGCAGCCCAGCTCGATCCCCAACACGACGGTGTCACTGTGAGTAACTCTCAAGACTTGACTTTAGTGATCTTGTCCCTGTGACATTGTTAAATATGTGGTTAATATTTTATTTCATGTTCTCATTATCAATGGCAGGGTATTTTAACATTTAAAGCCTAGAGAAGTCATGACAATTATTACATTCAGTCAAATCTTCATAGAAAAGTCATGGATTAAACTCATTAAAAGTCATTAAACTCATTAAAAGTTCTACTTAGTCTCAACTTTACAATATTAAATCGACTAGAAATTGCGTTTTGTGACTTTTTTTTTTTTAATCTTCATGCAGTAATCATGACTGGGAAAACTGGAAAAATATTTTTATTTAAAATAAGTTTATTGTAATATTTGTATTATATTTTTATTATCTTCATGCGGAAATCATGACTGGGGAAACTGGAAAAAAATATTTTTATTTAAAATAATTTTATTGTAATATTTTATTATTTTTATAATTAATTTCAGAAGTGTATATGTGTCTTTATGCAACATAGACACATAAAATAAAGTGTGAGCGCCGGCCTCTATTGCTGTCAGCCATTGATTTTATTGAAATTGATCCAAATGATGATATTTTATTGTCAGAAGTTTCATAAGTGGTTTGTGATGGATGATCATGCATTAATGAATTATGTCATGTTATTTTGCTCATCAGTATTCGGTATGTCTCCGAGCACAAATCAGAGATGGATCCCTTAGATACTGCAGATTTATTTATACATTTACATTTACTCATTAAGGAAAAGCTTTTATCCGTAGTGAGCGAGCAGAAGTGATTAATCCAAGGAATAAAGTCATGCAAGAAACACTACAGTACTGGAAGAGTGCAGTCTTAAAGATCATAAATAAAGTCATAATTAAATCCAAACAGAGTTTTACAGTCTGGTGTCAGAGAAACACTTATATAAGCTTGTTTCCGTTAACAGTTGTGCTGCTTCATTTTATTTATTTATTTCTTTTTTCTTTTTTTTTTTGAACCTGTGATACTTTTTCTGGATTCTTTGATTTATAACAAGTTAAAAAGAACAGCATTTATTTAAAATAGAATTCCTTTCTAACAATATGAGTCTTTACTATATATATTTTTTAAAGCAATTTAACACATCCTTGCTGAATAAAAGTATATTTTCTTTAAAAAAAAAAAAGAAAAGAAAAGAAAAAAAATGAAAGAAAAAAAAAAAGAAAAATAGAAAAAAAAAAATTTCTGTATTTTTGATCAAATAAATGCAGCTCTGATGAGCATAAGAAACTTTTCTTTTTTAAAAGCATGAAAAATCTCACTGACCCCAAACTTTTGAAAAGCAGTGTAAATATAAGGTAATTGTAACTTTTTATCTCTCCATTAAGACTTTTATTTTCTCAAAATTCAGACTTTTTTTTTCCTCAGAATTGTGAGTTAGAAACTCATAATTGCGAACATAAACTCCAAAAAGTCCAAATTGTGAGATATAAACTTTTTATTGTGAGAAAAAAAAAGCTATTTCCTTTTTTACATTTTTTCTCCCCCTCCCGCTCCCCACCTCATATTTGCTAGAAAAAAGTCTGACTCTGAGATAAAAAGAACTCCAAAACACAGATCTGAGGAACCTGTAAAGAAACACCAAGAACCTAAAGATTCCGTGGATGTTAAAGGTTCTTTATGGAACCATCAGTGCCAATACAGAAGCTTTATTTGCATGATCTTTAAGAAGAAGGTTCTACAGCATTGAGTGTGAGGAGAGGAGCTCTGCTGATTGGGAAGCTGTCTGCTGTAACGAGGAATGAAATGCTTTGTCTGTAAAAACTGGAACATGTTTCTGGAGTGAAGTTTTCAGGACACTCTCAGTGCTTTTGTGTTTTTACAACTTTTTCAGAAACGTGTCGTGTAGTTCTCAAATGCTCAAGAGCCAAAAATCGTAAAGCGATGTTCAGTCCATTCAAACATCTTTCACAGGCCACGAGGGAGAAATTACACTAGAAGTCCAAAGTTTGGACACCTCGCTGCATTTCTTTCTCATGATCGGTTTGATTTTCTCCTGAAGGTTTGTGCTTAAATGCTTGAAATGAGCTTTGTGGACAAAACTGGAGTTGTAGCAGATAGTGAAGGACTAGTGATGGTTTGTCTCTTCTCTAGCTTCTCTAGTTGTCTAATAAACCTAGCATTGTGTGTTATAACTAATGTTGGCTCTTTGATAAATTGCCTTTTGTAAGTCGCTTTGCTAAATGCATGAATGTAACTGTAAGGAAATGCACTATAAATTGCTCCTCACTAGTGTTTAAAAGCATCCCATGAGTCTCCAGAGCGAGAAGAGCTGGAGTCTAGACAAAGAAGAAGCTCAAATATTAGAGAGATTTCATTCGTGTCACATCTTTCGAGCACTGCATCTTTCCCAGACCTCCATTATTGTAAATTCAGAGTTTCGTCACTGCATTATAATTCTACTCATCATAGAGTGCAGCAGGGATGATGTATTATTGTAGGCCAAAACCTGGAAATGAATTGTATTTTAACATTTCCAGCTGCATTATCTTGAAGTCAATGGTTTTTTTGAATGGGTTTTTGTTAAATAGGGCCCTATGAAATGTTTTATTTTTTTTTCTCAAATTCATTTTTATTTATTGATTTATCTGTTTTAATTTGACTGAATTCCGTTGAAACTGAAATTATGAAACTTTTTTAACACAATTTAAGAACAATTTATTAAAAGTTTAACCAAAAAAAAAAAAAAAAAAAAAAGGTTTAGGGCCCAATAAAGTACATTTCATGTTTTTCTCAAATACTGTTTTATTTATTTATTTATACCAAATTATGTGTTTTCAGTTAAAATTTTTCTGGATTCTATTTCAATGGTTAAATAAAAATGTAATAATCAAAAAGCATGTCTAATTAATTGTATTAATAAAAACAACTTAATAATTTTTTTTACAATAACAGTGCCCTGTGAAATGTTTTGTTTTTTCCAGAAATTCTCTGTTGTGTATGTTAATTTTTCTAGTAATCAATTGAAGACAGAACGTTAATTTAATTTATCTTTTAATCAAATGAAAATTAAACAAATCGTTTAGTTTTTCTGGAAAAGTGCAGCACAAAAGAGGTTTACTGTTAAAATTAAAACATGGAAGAATAATAGTGTGATTACTCATTAAAATCAGTATTTTAATAATTATTTTATTACAATTGATCATCTTAATTATTTATATTCTTTATAATTATTTTATTTAAAATTTAAAATGTATTTTATTCTGTCACAATTTCAAGTAAAACCGACTTTTATTTTGTCAGGTTGCTGTGAAGTTTCAGCATATTCATGTATTCAGTGACGTGAAATACATCAGTAATATCTAGAAGAACAAGGTTGTTTTATTTGACTTGAAAAAGGCAAACAAATGTCTAAATGTGATTACATGTTGTTTGGACATTAAACAGATAAGCTCATCTACTAACTAGTCGCTTTCACAGCCTCAGTGTGTTTATAATCGCGCTCTTGCAAACTATTTTAACTCAAACTTTCATGCAAAATGTTTTTAAATAAAGACTGAAAGAGTTTTCGGAAGCCTAATAGTGGTGATGTTGGAGTCATGTGACTGTGCTGTAGTTCATTTATAGTCACGGTTTCTGACTTAAAATTTGACAACAAAAAAAAGAATCCATATATCTGCAAATAATCCGAAAGAAAACCCCCAGTTGGGTTTTTGTTGAGTGATGTGAACCTACAGAAATACTCCATCAGCTGCTGTCGATCTGAGCTGGGATCCGTGGCTTGTTTTGCTCGGGAAGTCTTTTTCCGGCTCTAGGAAGCGTGACATTCGTGATTCTGCGCCGACTTCCCTCGTCTGACTTTTGTTTCTGAGTCGAGGATAAATAAACGAGCAGGAGCTCACATACGCCTCCTCTTTTCTCCTCAGACGTTTTTAGAGTAGTCCCTCGTTATCATTCTGCCGTCGTTACTCCGTTAAACATCTCGAGCATCAGATGCTTCGCAGACGGAGCAGATACTCATGTTTAATTCATTTCGTTTTATTCAGTAGAAAACCTATTTTATGTGAATCGATTTAGAATGTTCTCCTCTTTATTTCGTCTTTAGAGTTGTAGGTTTTTCTGTGTTTCTAAATTGATTTCAAACGTATGCATCTTCTCTTTGCATAACTCTGCATGCATTTTTGCAAACATTAAAAACATTAGGTTTGCTTTACTTTACTGCAGTTTCCAGGTGAAATATAGGCTATCCACCAAAAATGAGTTTTATTTTCCAAATACATTTACATTTAATCATTTAGCGGAAGCTTTTATCCAAAGCGACTTACAAATGAGGAGAACAATAGAAGCAATCAGACCAATGAGAGAACAACAGAATACAAGTGTTGTGACAAGTCTAGCACAGTAAGGTGTTTTTTTTTAATAAATTAGACCGAATAGAATAGAATAGAGTAGAATAGAATAGAATAGGTAAGTGCTAGTATTAATTGGTCAGGTGCTGGCAAATAATGTTTTATTCACTTATGTTTTGATTTTTTATAATTAAGACAAACCTTAATTTTAACTCCACCTTGATGTCAAATTACACTAACAGTCAAAAGTTTGAAATCATTACTATTTTTAAATGTTTTTTTTTTGTTGACAAAAGTTGGTATGATTCAATGGTTCAGAGTCAGTTCGTATAATTCAATTATTCAGAGTCAGTTCGTATGATTCAGTTATTCAGAGTCAGTTCGTATGATTCAATTATTCAGAGTCAGTTCGTATGATTCAATTATTCAGAGTCAGTTCATATGATTCAGTTATTCAGAGTCAGTTCGTATGATTCAGTGATTCAGAGTCAGTTCATATGATTCAGTGATTCAGAGTCAGTTTTCATAGCCAGGAGTCTCTGAGACAAAATTACATCTCAGAAATATGAATCGAGGACTGATTTCAGTCTGATATCAGTCACACAAAAGACAAACTGATCTGTCAAGTTTGTCTTCTCTTAATATTAGAACAAAATATATCAGAAAATATATTTTTTTAAAATATGTTA